TTGCTCGCAATGCACTTTAGTTGGTTCACTTTGGCGCCATGCTTCATGAGATTTCACCTGCTGCTTATTCTGCTTAAAATCTCCACTCTTGGACTCCACAACAAACTGCACACTTAACTGTTAATGATATCAAATTCAAGATAATGCAAATCACTATTTCATAAAAACAGTCAAAATCAATCAGATGGTGAATGTTAAATCGAAGTTATGAACTCAAACAAACAAAGGTTTAGAGAAGACACTTAACCTTTGAGCTGTTGAGCCTTCCCCACCACAAATTGTCAACACAGCAGAAACAAAAAAAAAATTGTGTAGTTGTAGATGGGTCTGGTAAAGCAACAATCTTCAAACTTGGAGATCTGGGCATTAGTGTGTTATGACAGCAAGCACGTCTGAAGAACAGCAAACACCTTTATATACTCTGGTCAAAAATCCAAAACACCAATCTGACCAGCCCTTTCTCTTTGTCCCACCCGGGCTGTGTATGGTTTGTGCAATAAATCTGTGTATGGTTTGTGCAATAAAGAACAAACACATAACCTGTAGAAAACACTTCTTACACCGCAACTCTTTCAATTAGCCCCTTACCAAGCAACTACAGAACCTGCTTAAACCTATGCAACTACCAAGCAGCAGCTACAGTAACTGAAACAGGCGATTTATGAATTAAACTTGTGCCTTTGGTCAACCAAACAAGTCTTAAGCCTTGAAACAGCTAATTTTGTGTACAATGTCTTCAATCCAGCCAAGAACAATAGACAGAAAACTTCTTCTTCAATGATACCAGACTCTTTGAAACAATTTAAAATCAAATTAACAAAACCTGTGATGAGCGATAAAAAGAACCAAATGAAGACCAAGTCAAAAATGAATCGATTCTCTGTAATCGAGCAGTCTGGGCAAAATCAAATAAAATGAGCAATGAGCTTCTCAATCAATGAAAGGTTGTTGTTCGATTTAGGAAAATTTACACAACATACAGAACTTGTAAATGAACGATAAAGAATCCGGGTAAATGAATTGAACGATTTAATAAACCGGATAACTCGATACACAAAAAGCTAAGTCCTAAATCACTCAACTTATGATGCTTATCCGCTCAACTCTCTTGCTTAAATCGCTCATATATCCGCTCACACTATGAACTAATCCGCTCATTTATCCGCTCAAAGCTAATCATAAATCGCTCAAGAAGGTGCTTAAATCGCTCAATAGTCTGGTTAAGATATGACCGAATACGCTCAAGGTGGTGCTTAAATCGCTCAATAATCCGGTTAAGAGATGACCGAATATGCTCAAGGTTAAATTTCTTATCCTCTTATCAAACAGATTAATCCGCTCAAGACAATATTCCTTATTGATCGAATAAGAATCCGCTCAAACTATGCTACCTTTGTATCCGAATCCGATCAAGAATAAACTCAAACTTGATGAAATTGAACGATTTACTAACCTTGAATCCACCACAGACGATGTACACTTTAATCCGGTCAAGCTGTCGATTTGAGCGATTAAGAATCCGGTTAGCTGTGATGAAGATGAAATCAAAGAATCTGTTAAGATGAACAAGAAAGTGTTTCAATCGGATGGGCTTATCCGATTTATGCTAAATCGGCTGGGTCACAGATTGGGCCCAAAAAAAATGATTGGGCTAAGCAAAAACACACAAACAAAACAAAAGTTAAAAAAAAAGGATCAAAACTCAGGTTTTAAAAAAAATTAAGAACACGAAAACTTTTAAAATTCACAAAATTCACCAAAAACTTGAAATCATATGATCAAAATGTAAATCTTTGTGTAAAACAAAGATTCACAACAAGATTACGCACAAAATGATCCTGTTTTTAACACGAAAACACACAATTTTCTATAAAATTTCAGATCAAACATGAAGAAAAACACAAGAACACGAAGAATAAAAAAAATTCAAAAAATAATCTTCGAAATTTTTTTGATTTCTTCTTCTGATCTCTTGCACACACTTCTCTGATACCAATTGATAGTCCACTTTAAGATCAATCTTCAATACATCTTCATAACAATGGCAGATCTAAGATATATCTTCAAGAACATAAGAGATGAACTTTGAGAGAGAAAGTCAAACATTCAAATCTGGTCAAACCTTATTTACGTAATATGATTTTACAAATGAGCTCCCTCTTCTAAGATTACAAAGACTTACCCTATTTATAGGGTCAAACTTCTAAACATAGTCAAAGTCAAACCTATCTAAGAAAAGTCAAACACGATGACTTTTAAAATTATAGACAGTATTTAACTTTCAAGACGAATACAATTTAATACTGATTTTCAGTCCTAACAGTACATAGTTTTCACAAAGCAACTTGAAACTCACATTGCTATGTTATGTTAAACCTAGTTTCCAAACCCAAACTCTAGCTTCCAAATGTGAAGGCTTGAGATTCACAAGCAAACTCTCCAAAATCTTATCAAGACCACAATCCAAGCCTGCAAATGCAACAAATATGTTCACAAGCTTCAAATCTATAAAGAATCTCAACTAGATCTAGAATACTGGCCAAAAAGCTTACCTTCTTCAAGCACTTGAAGGATCCAAGATAAATCCATCAATAAAGCTTTCTAATCTTCAAACCACATTGAAGAGCCCAAAAATCAGTCTCTAAGCTTCAAAATGGCCCAAACCATGAGAGACGTGAATGAGATGAAGAAATGAGATCTAACCAAAAAAGGAATTCATATCCTTAATAGAAAACAATGAAAATAACATATATTTATCCTTAATATTAAGGGGGCATTTGGTGGTTGGTAGGTTGAGATGATAATAGTAGCGGGGTGGTGGTAGGTGAGTGGTGGTGGGTGGTAGTTGTGACGACAACAGTAGTGGGTAGTAGGTGTCGTTGTGATGACAATAGTAGTGGCGTGATGGGTGGCAGTTATGAGGACAACAATAGTAGGGTGGTAGTAGGTGAGTGGTGTGGAATGGGGTTAGGTGGGGTTGGTGGTGGTGTAATGGCAATAGTAGTAGCATGGTGATTGTGGCGGTAGCGGTCGGCAATAAAGGGTGTAGGTGGTGATTGTGACGATGAATGATAGTGGCTTGGTGGTGACGATGGGGATGGGTGGTGGTTATTACAACAACTGTGCTGGCGACAAATAAAGGTCGGTTTTGCTGGGTAGTGGTGGTGGTTGGGGATTGGTGGAATGATAATATTAATGGTGGTGGTGGTGATGGCAACGACGACGATGATGGCGACGACAGTGGCAGAGATGGCGGTAAGGGGGGGGGTAGTAAGTGTGGTGGGACGGTGATGTTGGTTAAATTGGATGTAAATGTTATTTTTATATTTTTAAAACAAAATTATAAATTCTATTACATATGTTATAAAATGGAATTCAAATTCTTCACTTATGTCAAATAATAAACGAATCCCTCAACCATGGAATTTGACAGAATCCAACCAACTCATTCCACAAACCAAACATCATCATGTAATTTGATCAAAATATTTTTCATTCTAATTCCACTAAATTCCTTCATATTCTATGAACCAAACAACCCATAAGGTGGCGTTTGGTTTGTAGAATATTTTTAGATGAAATGAAATATGTTAAAGGAAATTGACTTTTAAGAAATTGGAATGAAATGTTGTCAGGTTTGACCACCTTTTAGGTTGGCAGACATTGGAATAGAATCTGTTAAGAAATTGGAATATGTCTATTTAGTTCATAGAATGTAGCTTTCTAATTAAAATTAAATATTGATAAATGACCGAAATGCCATTTTTAGAAAAATTTAATTTTTTTAAAACTAAAAATACTTTAATAAAATAATTATTTAATATGTAAAACAAAAATACACAACCCAAATACAACCATTATCCAAACAATGTTACTAAATCAACGGTGGTCGGCGGTGGTTCAGATCAGTGGTGGCCCGCATTGATTAAGATAGCGGTGGTTGGCAGTGATTTAGATCGATGGCAGTTTGCGGTGGTTCAGATGAAGGTGGTCAGCGGTGGTTTAGATAGACGGTGGTTCTAATTGGCGGTGATGGGGGTGGTTTGAATCGGTGGTTGTTCAAATCGTTAGTGGTCGATGGTGCCCGGCGGTGATTCAGATCGGTGGTAGTCGTCGGTGGTCGGTAGTGATTCAGATCGGTGGTGGTATGTGGTGCTTTAGGTGACGATGGTCGGATGTAGTTCAGATCGACAATGGTTCAAATCAGTGGTTGTTCAGATCGGTGATGGTCAGCGGTGGTTTAGATCGACGATGGTTGACGATGATTCAGATCGGTAGTAGTTGGCGGTGGTTCAAATCATAGTGCTCCATGGGGTTTAGATGGCGATGGTCGACAATGGTTCAAATTGGTGATGGTCCATAGTGGTTCAAATGGTGGTGATTAGCGGTGGTTCAGATCGACGGTGGATCAGATCAGCGGTAGTTCAAATCGGCGGTGGTCGGTTGTGGTCCAAATCAGTAGTGGTCGGTTGTGGTTTAGATCAGTGGTGGTTCAGATCGATGGTGGTCGGCGGTGGTTCAGATCGATCGTAATCGACGGTGGTGGTTCAAATGGCGATAGTCAGCGTGGTTCAGATGGCGGTGATTCAAATCGACGGTGGTCATATTAAGTTTTATGAGATAAGGGTATATTGGTTAAGTGTATATTTGGTATCATGAAAATAGAGAGTTATATTCCATCATAATACCAAAGAGTTGCTAAGGAATGCTAAATTCCTTTATTTATGAAATTTGTAGGATTTTGAAAAAAAAATTCGTGAAAAATAATGAACCAAACGAGGGAATCAATTTTGGTTAATGGAATTCGACATTCCAGTTTCATCAGATTCCTTTAAAATTTGCCCACCAAATATCCCCTAAGAGTTGTAGAGATTATTCCAAATTTAAATTATTATTTTTTCTATATTCTAATATACATTTTATTATACCTAAAAGAAAGAGAAAAAATGAAAAATGAAAAATGAAAAAATTGACGCTTAAATCGCATTACATTCGAACACCCGAACGAACAAAAGGTCTGCAACTAGTTTGAGGCGAAAAAATCCTAGCTTTTGGGAAACAATGGCGTCCTTTATCTCCTCCAGCACAACACTACCAAATTATACTCCTTCTTTGAACCCTAAATTCAAACAAACATCTTTCTCTTCGTTCATCCTTTCGCCCAATTCAAACCCTAGAAAAAATTCTCATAAAGAACTATTCTCTTGCTATGCTGCAAAGCAGCAACAGAGTGAACCGGTGAAGAAGCGTCAGTCTTCGACGACTAACAAGAAGCCGGTGAAGAAGAATAGTAAAAATGGTGGTTCTGGATCTGGGTTTAAGAAGGGTTTTGGTGTAAATGAGGAAGAAGATGATGAAATGAGGTATCAGCCACTGCCGTTGCCCAAACCACCAGCTGGTTTCATTGTGGATGATCAAGGGAGAGTTGTTGCTGTTTCGGACAGACGAATTGCTACAATTGTATGTTACTTTAATATTTTTATCTTGTAAATATAATCTATATGTTTATATAATCTATGCATGACTACATATGAGAAGTTGAAGAAATTAGCAATTGTGATTTTGTTACAGATAAGGCTAGGATTACTAATTCTGGTTTTGATAATGCCAAGATATGCCTGTTGCAAAAATTGTGAAGCTTGTAACTGAACTGATACAAGGAATGTATCCAAACATACTTGTTTGAATTATGCTTGTCACTAAAGTAGTGATCCAATTGGTAATTTGGCCACCCATCTTATTTTCCACCCAAACCTGGTCATTTGCCCCTAACAAGCTTAAGGGTAACATCATTTTAACAAAGGGTACACTTGTCAATTAATATTTTTGGCTGGAGATAGGATCAGTTGGCAAAAGGTGTTTGGAACATGAGATGTAGTGCCCAAATAAACATCTTTTAGTAAAATCTGGAAAAAAAGAACTAACTCGATAGTATAGCGGTCAAATAAATGTTTAACTCAAAATGTACATAGTGAATTAGATTGCTTAAGACTTATAAACACAGAGGTTAGGAATTGAGGGCATATACGAGGTGCTCATTCTTTATGTTTTGGATATTGCATGCATGCCCACAATTTGCTTTACTTTTTAGTTACAGTTATGATAGTCCAGAAATCATACAAACATTAAGCAATCTTCAAGAATCATGATGAATATCAAAGATGGAAAGAATATGAACAAAGGATGATTAGATTGATAGAGAGAGAATATTACAACTCTAATCTTGATAATTCTGCTAATGACAATTGTTAATGACAATTACAAGGAAATCACTATTTATACTAGGAAATTGTAAAGGCTAAACTATTACAAAACAATTACACTAAGGATAAACTTGAATACAACATTAAAGCACTAACTTGAACCCAACATTCTCCCCCTTTGGATTCAAGTTTGGACCCTTGTGAATTTCGTTTTGCGCAGTCCAAGGATTTTCTCTAATCTTCTCAGAGCGTTCCTGTACTGAATCTTCTGCTCGAGCAAATTTATGGCGTTGACCAATAAGTATCTTTCTTTGGAACTCATTCGTTCA